TACTGACTGAAAGTATTAATTTTTTTTTTTTAATAATTAAGTACGAAATTTAGAAATAATTGTTTTTCATATTTTATACGCAAGATGTACTTTTATATACTTATTTTAGAAAATAAATAAACAAATGCAACAAAGTACCTCGATAAAAAAATTTAGTAAGTAATCATGCGTCAAATTGGGCAGTTTCCACACTACCCTTGAGGTACTGCCTGTAGTGCGTTAGGTTGTTTCGATTACACGTACATCAGTGTTTTACTTTAATACTGACATATTACGCTTAAGCGTAAAAAAATTTCGCAATCATTACAAGACTACAGTTTCCTTTATTTATTCTTGATATACGTGTAATGTTGGTACCTTTGCTAATATTTTTATTCAGCATTTTAGATTTCTAAACTCGAAACAATCACTCTGAGTTGAGGTAGCCTAAGGATCCATAAAATATCTATAGATATGCTGATTCAGCATGGTCTTGCATGCCCATGATCGACATAGGTCTTAACTATATATCGTTTGTTTACATTATATTTCTGTCACTGGACTCAACTGTTTTTTTGGCACGCTTCTACGAGACTCGCGTTCTTTCTTAGTTTGCAGTAAATCGTGCATGCGTAACTAACTGCCTTCTTGTCATTTATTTCTGTTGTAACCCGCACCGTGTATTGAAGCTTTATCTTTCTGCAGTTAATAGTGGTAATTTGTGTTTTGAGCGAATGAACTCATTAATGGCATGTGTTATGTGAGTGTGATTAAGCTCGTTTGTGAATCCTTGTAGTGCTAGTTCTTTATTTTTTCGCTTTAAAAAAAAAAAAAAAAAAAATTTGCGCAGCTGAGATTCGAAGATTAAGTGAGCAAAATCATGATGTGCGCTAGCCCACTCAGCTACCGATAACTTTCTCCTACGTGATACTGAAGCAGTATATAAGTTGTTAGGGAAGCCTTGGGTTAACCATCTGGGGGGAGGCTGGAGTGGGGAAGCTAGAGAGACAGCTCAGGCAAGACCTACTTTAAGCAGCGCGCTGCTGTACTGGCGAATGAGCATTAAGCTCTTCTACGAATGTGCGACTTCGCAGTACCGTCTGGCATCACTGTTGTACACTACACATTCCATAACGCCGAACTCCAAACTAATTAAACTCAATAACTTTTGAAACGAACAGTTAATTTAGAAAGCAGTTAATTAATTAAGCAATTACTTATAAAACATTTACTTGGTTAACCTTTTTAAGAAAAAGTCAAATTACTAACATAACATTTTATAACATGAGTAACAATAGCAAAGTTACGGTTCATGGCCAATGTACTTCTTAATATAAAAAAACAATAAACAACTAAAGCCCCTATCTGCAGGTAACTCTAAGCACTTATTGGCCACTTTACAAATTAATAAAAGAAAAATTAATAACATAGGCGCCTATCTCTACATAACCCAGGGCGTTTACTGGCCACTTTGTTAATCAATAAAATATTGTTTAATAACATAAATGACTATCCCTAAGCAACTCGGAGTGCTTACTTGCCATTTCATAAATTAATAAAATGAAAATTAATAACATAGACGCCTATCACCGGGTGATCCGGGGCGCTTATCAGCAACTTCGGAAAATAATAAAATAAAAATTTGTAACTAATGCACCAATCACCAGGTAGTTTTGAGCGCTTACTGACAGCTTAAGAAATTAATAAAATAACAAATAATAACACCACTGCCTATCCCTAGGTAATCCAGGGCGTTAACAAGCTACTTTGTTAATTAATAAAACATTAACTTATAACTTTGGCACCTATCACCAGGTAAACTGGTACGCACACTGACCATTTGGTTCATAAATAAAACATTGATAAACAACATGACATTCCATCCCCAAGTGATCCTAGATTCTCACTGGTCACTTTATGAATTAATCAAATACAAATTTATATCGAAAGCATCTATCACCAGGTGACTCGGGACGATTACTGGCAGATTTGTTAATTATTAGGACATTGATAAACAATACGACCACTTGTTACCAAGTTACGTGAGCCACTAACTGGCCACTTGATTATTGATAAAACGTTTATTTATAACATAATCTTTCATTCCTAAATGGCCCACAGCGCTTACTAGTGACTCTATAAATTTTTTTCCGACCAGAGTATTATTTCAGTCCATCCAAGTATTAAATTAATAACGTATTATTCATTATAATTATTTAATATAAATTTGGTTTTCAAACGCTGGGTGACGACTGCTAATTTCAAGACAACACCACGAGTAATAAAGCAGCTTTCAGTGTATAAAAGAGACTACGCGATGACATAAAATCATTCACCAGAATACACTCATTTATAGCGATTAGTAGGTCTTTACTTGTACAACGAAATCCACGCAACAGCAGTGGTTAGAGCAATACTTATACAATTAATATCACTCTATAATAACACCGCCGTATGATTTTTCTCTTACTTACTTTCGCCCACTATCTTTAACACTGTTTGCGCAATCGTTCGACAAACGAGATAATAAAGCGTTAATTACACTGGCGGTTATCTCATCTCACTCACTAAACATCACTGGCCAGTGACCTACCTCTTCTAGTGACAACTCAGATTTCAACAGAAGCAGCTGTCTCACCACATCCAGAGCTCTCAGTACAGCGTTCTCATTGTTAGTCAATCTTGACAGCCAACTGGACAACCCCTAAGGTGACTGATACCGCCCCTAACTCCCCTTTTCTGGTTAAAGCCACCCACCCTTAAAGGCTGGTTATAACAAACTAATAAAACAAAAATTAAAAACATGAGCACCTATCACCAGGTAGCCCGATATAATTATTGGACGGTTTGATGATTAATAAAATAGACTAGTAGAAAATCCGCTGAACCTAAATTTGATATCCAGGGAGTCCTATTTGATATGATACGTAAATTAATGCGTAGATTACGAAAAAGTACTTAAAAAGTCGAAAGCTCTATTGTCGGGCGTAAAAATAGCGTTTGAAACTTGTTTCCCTA